GTGTGTGTGTGTGTGTGTGTGTGTGTGTGTGTGTGTGTGTTCTATTGTCAAATCCATTTCTTCTGTGAGTATCTTAATTTTATGCTCTGACTTCTCTTTGTTGATTGCACTCATGATTTTTATATAAATCGATATTATAGCTATTACGTTTTCTGATGGACCATGCTTTGGCCTTCTATATTCTATTGAAATGCTGCATTGTTCCTGAATTCTTATGTGGTGATAATTGATCTTGGTAAAGGTTATCCGAGAGCTAAGTGGTATGATTCTCACACGAGGCCCCAAGCTGTGCAATTTTGTGGAGTGGAGGGGATACAAAGTTGTTTACAAAAGGTAATATTCGTTTCTTATATTCTCAGAGCTTGCAACATATTCTTTACTACATGAATGTCCTCTTCCTGCTTGCATGCGTAGTTAATATGGTCTCCCATTGAATATTCTGCAGATATGCCAGCCTTTATTTCTGCATGTGTATTGATCGGGATGACAATGAACTGGAGATACTTGAAATCATTCACCATTTTGTTGAAGTATTAGACCGCTACTTTGGAAGTGTGAGGCTCTCGATAATCTGAAGTACATACTGCTTCATATTTTTATTTGCTTAAATCAAAATTTAAATGATATATATTTTCTGGTTTGTTTAGGTTTGTGAATTGGATTTGATCTTTAATTTCCATAAGGTATGTCCTTTTGATTTTTTTTGAAAGTTTTAGTTAGATCTTGTGCTGGTCTCCCAGATAGCATATTTCCTTTCAACTTTTGGTGCCTTTTAAGATCTTTATTGTAAACTGTACATCAGCTGCTTGCGGCTCTTTTCAGGTTTGGGCTATATATGCCTCAGCTTCTTTAAGAATTCCACGAAATGGATCTCTGTGTAGTAAAACCCACTCCTACTTGATTATGCTTCACAATTTTCTTATCATCCAAGCCCATGATTAAATCAGTTGAGATAAGAAAACTTAATTCATGCGTACAGTCATGTCTATTTAGTAATCATTAATTCATTAATATTGCTAGGATTTGTCTGTTACAGTTGCATTGGCTACATATTCATTTATCTCATTATTGAACGACGCAAATAATTTGGGAGTGTTATTTAGAGATTATTTTATTTTCTTGAAACCTTTTAGTGAAGATTTATTATCTTGGATTTGTGCTATCATGAATACTTACTTGCATGTCTCATGTTATATTTGGAAAGCTGGGAAAGCAGGGGATGCATAATATATATATATATATATATATATATATATATATATAATGTATTTTCTGGTGCCCAATTTTTGGATAAGATTCTACTATATGGTAGGGAACTTTGTCACCTGTTACTGTCAATAATACTAAAACATTCTCGTTCAGTTTTTACAGCTCATTCTAACATTGTCTGATATGTATTGATTCAGTGTCTCAATTGGCCTAACTTGGATCTGAAACCTTTAGATATATGTTTGCCAAAAATATTTACATGGATATTGTTAGAGAAAAGAACCAGCAAAAAGATAGATTTTTAGTAAGAGATTGAAAACACGAACTACAGGGAAATTGATTTTTTTTTCAAATTAGTCAGGATATTTGGAATAATGACTCTGATGCCTTTCACATCTAAGAGTCTTTATTTGTTGTAGTCATAATACTATGGCATTGTTTGCCAATTAGCGGATAGTTGATAGCTGATTGTATTAATGGCTTTGACTAAGCGGATTCCATTAACTAGTGTTTCGAAAATAATTAATAGTGAATAGCGGATTTATTAAATAATATTTGTATCAGGTTTATTTATTTATAATATAGGTCTTTATGAGCTTATTGTGAACAGTTAAATATTATTGTTAATTTAACAACAATGATTGTTACAATCTTTTGTTGTAAATCTCTGAATATTACGTTATTAAACAAATATTACTAATAGTTAATTAAGATATTTGCTGTAAATTAATTATCTATAGGTAATGCTAAATATAATTAATAGTATTATACTCAAAACTACCTTGTATAAATAATATTCAATCCCCTTTTCACAAGACGCTCATATTTGATGGTTTTTAAAAAGCTGCCTTTTGGACCCAAAACGCTTATCTACAACCCTCTTTACGAAAAATGTCGAAGAGAGGATCTGACTAGTCAAACTTCTGATTGAGTCCAAACCTCTAATTCTAGCTAAATCTCTCCTACTGAATCAAGACCTGAGATTCAGTCTTGTTGCTGATCTACTTTCGTACATTTAGGATGTCTTGCGGTGTGTTACTTGTTTCTTCTACCGTTTTTAAATGTTGCTCTATCTACAACCTCTAATGCTTGATATCATGTTGCGCGACAGTCTTTTTTTTTAGATCTGTCTCACTAGATAAATCTATTCGTTATCCTGAGTAAATTCAATGACCATTCTTGCCCAGTTTGCTTGGATTTGGCCCATTGTTTGTAGCCATGTTACTCCCAGAATAATGTCAATGCTCCCAAGAGGAAATGTATAGAAATATAGAGACAAGGTGAATGATTAAAGTTGGAGTGTCAATTGCTATACTTCCCTTTGGAAGTTGCGAGTCGTGACTGCCATGTCCCAAACATACCCCAAACTGGATTGTCTTCTCTATTAGTTTTGGAATTTAGTTGATATGTTTGGATGAAATGAAGTCTTGGCTCGTCCCACTATACTGTTCACCATGATCACCATTATAGTTATAGGCTGACCGTATACATGAGTCAGAATTTTCTGTTCGTGGTCCATCAATTCCACCCATCGCCATCAATGAAGTCTAGAAAATGGAGTTGGGCCTCGTTAATATCTGCTTATAAATATTGCATCTTGTCTGATCAGAAGTTGGAAATGGTAGCACTACTCTTGTTTTCCCTTACGATGAAAGCATGTAATGACTTTTGGGGGCAATCATGCATCAAACTGTATGGTTGTTTGCAGCCGAAACAATGACCTTTCATGCAACATATCTAGGTATTCTTGATAGTAATATTGACATGCAGCTCTACTTTTCAGCGCGGTTGTGTTGTTAGGTGTTGTTGAAGTGGATGAGCTTGTGCTGCCCTGAAGTAGTCTGATGTGATCTATAGGCTTGTATGGGCTGCAGGATTCTTACTATGCACTTTGAGGTGCTGCTTAATTTTGTGGGCCAGAGCAAAACTGGGGATTTGGGTTAGAAGCCCAGAGGCCCCAGGCTGTTTTTAGATCAAGTACATCATACGGGCGTAAGATAACCCGCGTTTCTTCCTTGAGTTCATTTATGGAAAACCTTAGTTGGAGTTGAGTCCAGAGATGCAACTTGGGCTGCACTTGCTCGAAATTTGTTGGTGTTATCATTTAGAGATCCAGATTGGTGTAATGCAGCCAGGCGTTTGCTAGGACTTGCTGCTAAGTCACTGCTGAATTGATCATTGAGTTTGCCTATTAATTTATCTCATAATTGTGGGGAGTTGCTGTCGGAACAATTGAAGCTAATGGAGTGCCGGTCCCTCCATGCAGATGAAGGCGGAGTCAACTTATATGTTTTCCTTCACATCCGTCCAACCAAGTTGGTTCCATCAAAACACAGGAGACTAATGTGTTTTGAAGTGGATTTTAACTTGTCAAAAACGTCACCATGAATTGCGGATTTGTGGTGGCTGCATATATTGGTCTCTGGAAGGATGTTGCTACTGGCTGTCACATGCTGTTTATATTCAGCGGATCAGTGATCCTGGATATTGCCGTTTCCAGCGTATTGAATTGGCTGTCCATGTTATTCCCTTAGGTTGGTGAGTTCCTCTCCAACGGCCTTCTTCTCCAACATCTCAACACGGGATAATATCCGTGTCAGTCGGTGCGCGGCAGGTTGGAAAACGGCAGGTTGAACCAATTTGTTAGAGAAAAGAACCAAGAAACAGCGAAAGGAAATGTGTTTATTAATAGACCAAGAAAATAATTACAGGACAGTTATTTTTTCCAAACAGCAATTAAACACCTGCCCCAAAGGAACTAATATTGTAATAATGATTTCTGATGCCTTCTCGACTAAGGGGCTTTATTTATGAGATTATATATATACTAAGATAATTACTTCCAATGAATAGAGCTATCTAGATCCATGAGATCAGTCACTCTAATTTCAAATCTGATATGGGTTCTTGGATTTGGCCTGCAACTATCAAGCCACAATTTTTATCGTGAGATACTCCTTTCCGATCAGATATATTCAAATTTTGATGTCGAAAAAAAAGAAAACTTGCTCTGCTGCTGGCCGTACTTAAACTCAAAATATTTTGGTTAAATGTGCGCTTTTTTTTTTTTACCTTGGACTAACTATTTGAGTTATGATGTATAATATTTTATGATTTTGCTTTGTGGTGTTGATCTTCTGTCATTTTATTCTGCTTTGAAGCTTAAATAAAATTACTTGGGGAGGACAACAATCCACTTCTTATTTTGCTTGTCAGATAGTCATGTGACTTCAGCACTTGTGTATCTCTGGTTAAGCAGTGTTTAACTTTTCATTCTGATTATAGAAAAAGTGCTGGTGCTCATTTTCTAGCTCACTGGTGTTTTTGAGGTTCTCAGTACAATGAATTTTTTCGGCGTAACTTAGAACTGCTAACGAACTGATGAAGCATTACAAGCCTGTTTTCAAATTCTTCTTTAGCTCTCCATTTGTCCATTTATATAATCCACTTTTTTTTTTTTTTTGCGCTGTGATTTGAAATTGAGGAATGTGATGGCACTATGGCAGGCTTACTACATACTGGATGAAATCCTAATTGCTGGTGAACTGCAAGAGTCTAGCAAGAAAACCGTTGCACGTCTAATAGCTGCGCAGGTATGCAAATATGCGTTAGTTTTAATACTCCACCTTTCTTTTCGTCTTCAGATGGTAGCTAAAGTCTCAGTATGTACTTGTAACTGAATAACGTTCTATATGTTTGTAGGATTCTCTGGTCGAAGCAGCCAAGGAGCAGGAAAGTTCCATAAGTAACATAATTGCTCAGGCGACAAAATGAGGATGTAGTTTGGTTTTGTGGGATGTCATTTAGATTTGTGTCTGTACTGATAATAAGTACAGCTGACTTTATCACTGTTATGTATGATTGTTACTTGCTGTCATGTTGCTGTTGAGTTGTAAACTGTGTAATCATTTGCTTCCAGTGTTTAACTAGCATGACACCTGTGTTTAATCTGGGGCGTTGAAAAAAAATTATTTTTATAGTAAAAAATAAATATGTAAAAGTATTCATTTTTATGCTATGAAGTTATAAAAATAAATATATAATAGATATAATGAATAATAACTAATAAGAGGACATGAGTTCTTCACCATCCAATTGTAAAAAATAATTATTAATTTAATTACAGGAACTATGCCTTTTTTTTTTTAAATTCAATTGAATAAATTCCAAAGCAAGGTCTTGGCGGCTTTAGACCTAGCTAGCCCCCAACAATTACAAACCCACCGCCTGCACAATCCAATCTGAAACCCCTTTTTCAGCCAAAGTCAGTGGCAAACAAAACACCGGTCACAGAGGAATGGGAACCCCAGAGACCTCGCGCGAACCCTGCCCAGATCGCATACTCGACGACATCGGCGGTGCCTTCGGCATGGGCGCCGTCGGGGGCTCAGCCTTCCACTTCCTCAAAGGCATCTACAGCTCGCCCAAGGGCGCTCGCCTTGTCGGCGGATCTCAGGCCGTGCGCATGAACGCTCCCCGGATCGGCGGCAGCTTCGCCGTCTGGGGAGGCCTCTTCTCCACTTTCGATTGCTCCATGGTTTATCTGAGGCAGAAGGAAGATCCGTGGAATTCCATCATCGCCGGCGCCGCCACAGGCGGATTCCTCCAGATGCGGCAAGGTATGGGCGCCGCGTCGCGCTCGGCTCTCTTTGGCGGGGTGCTGTTGGCGCTGATCGAGGGCGCAGGGATAATGTTGAATAAGGTCATGAGCGCCCAGCAGGAGGCGCCGATTTTCGTCGAGGATCTTCCCGGTGGCGCCCAGGGGATCCCTCAGGAGGCGGCGGCGCCTCCATCTTCATCGTCCTGGTTTGGGGGTTTCTTTGGCTTCCGCAAGGAAGATGAGAGTAAGAGCAGCGGTGGTGTGGTTAAGACGGAGGTTCTGGAGAGTTTTGACTCGCCGATACCACCAACTTTCGAGTTCAAGTGAGAGGTCTCTTTTTTTTTTTTTTT